TTATTGTGCTTGCCACATAGAAGCAAAACGTTGAAAATTATTGGAATCAGATTCAAATTACGACCACTTTTCATATATCGGCAAATTTCAGAAATGCTAGAAACTTCAATATTTCGAAATTTAAGGACGCTAATTTACTCAAAATTGATACACACCGGCTTACCATGTAGTGGTAGCTTTCGCAAAGGTGAAAATCATATACTTAGTACCTGCGCCGGGTATTTAATGTTCGGCTCTGCCCGAATTTAGACTTTCTTACTTGTTTTCTAATTAGTTTTGGTTATTTAACTCGATGTTAGGATGAATACGGTTTTTACAATTGAAAAAGTGCCTTAAAACTCAAATTATTTTCAAGCGTAAACAAAGCTAATCACGCCTACGAAGCAAACAAGTCACGCTTTGAAATGACGATGTAAAGATACATATGAATATAAGAATATGTATTAACTCAAAAGTGCATACGGGTGTACATATGTATGTGTATCACTATGTATACCCATACATTAGGGTGCCTCACCAAAAACAGTAGAGGTTTTTCAACGGAATTATAAATTTTTTAAACTTTCGTCAAAATATTCCGTATATACATACGTTAGCTGGACCGATTTAATAACACCTCCAAAAAATTCATTATTTTGACATTGTTGATAAATTTTTTAACGTTTTTTGCAAACTTTGTAAGATTAAAGTCTTCTATCATCTGAGCTGATTTTCTTGATTTTTTTTTAAACTAATATTTATAAAGACTCGACTCTCGGAGGAATCTTAAATCGGTCCTGCTCTCGTAGATCTTATTATTTTAGCAAAATATTTTGGCTCATGTCTTAAAACATAATAAATTTTATAATTCCCATTGAAAAACATTACAGTGTTTTTTGTAGGTAGAGTGCTGCACCCTAATGTACATATACATACATACATACAGTGACGAGCAAAACTGTAACATGGTTTAACACTTTTTGTTTCAGCCACCGCTATATTTCCCAGTTCTAACGACTTTCATACTTTTGTTGTATATTCTTGTTGCTACATCCCTACTCTCTCTCTCATAATGATTTGAAGTCAATACAACAACAATAAAAAAACCAGCAGACAAAAATGTAAATTAAGGCAGATGTTACAGTTTTGCACTCATATATTTTTAAGAGCTTTTTAACAATTTTCACGAAAAAAAAGAACTACTAACACAATGTTCAGTACTCTTTTGCCTGTTTCAGTTCCTGGGTGTCATTTGGCATACCTTATTTGTATCTTTGTAAAAATTCTGGAGGTATATCCTTAGTTTGCTTTCACAGCTCATGTACTCGATTTTACGGACTTTGATACTTATTAAGCTGTGCTTTTAGTTGATTTCGCAAATTCGATGAGATTCATGTCCGCGGTTTGTGGAGGTCATTTCATATTAGCATATTTTTGCTTTTGTATCCAGTCTTTGCGAACATATGCAGTATGTTTTGGGTGATTTTTCAGCAGAAACTCTCATTTTTCGACTACATATTGCAAATTTTCTTTGAAATATGAACAGATACTGTTCCTTACGCATAATGCGTACTAACGGACCAACAAAATTTTTGAAATACAACCCCAAGCAATTAAGATCCTACCACTGTGATTCACAGTTTGCAGTACATGATGCGCTTAGGCTTAATTTGGGTCTTTGATTCAATACCATGCCCGGCCATCTGATTGAAAGCGATTTATTTAGTCTTGTCAGACCATATAACCTTTAATTGAAACTTAAAAATATGTTTTTTATTGCATTCTGAACGGCCTAACATATCCCAATAGGCAACGGTTCGGTTTTCGTGCGATGCAGCGAAATGCTGCCACACTCGCACATGTATTTTGATCAAATTTGCTTTTTTCTTCTTTATGATGCCTTTGCGCTCAATTTGGCAATTCTTCGCCTCGCTGTCTATTCATTTGCATTAAAGTTTAATACCTTAAGCGCTTCTTTAATAGTGGCTGCATCGCTACTTGCTTCTAAGTTCACAAGATATCGTACCGTAATATTTTTTAACAGACTTCCTTTGTCCTTGGGAACACTTTAGGCTATATTTTTTCTAAGTCTTAACATTTTTAAGTAGAAAATTCCAAAATTTTTTGCCTCTTTTCGTGCGGTTCCGCCTTTCCGCAGTAAATCTATTATTTACATTTATGGTTCCTGATTAACTATTTTATTTACTGGTGATCACTTCTTCAATAAAATGCAATATAGGAAAAAGTCATCTGACTTCCAACTAAGTAAAAGATAACTGTCAAATGCAAAACTGAGAGTGAGTGCAAAACTGTAACATCTGCCTTAATTTACATTTTTGTCTGCTGGTTTTTTTATTGTTGTTGTATTGACTTCAAATCATTATGAGAGAGGGAGTAGGGATGTACCAACAAGAATATTCAACAAAAGGATGAAAGTCGTTAGAACTGGGAAATATAGCGGTGGCTGAAACAAAAAGTGTTAAACCATGTTACAGTTTTGCTCGTCACTGTACATACGTTTGTATGTGCCCATCAACAAATTCTTTTCCTTTTATCGACTATTCGTTGTGATTTACGTGACTCACTATTATTTTATTTATTTATTTTTTTCATGCATTAATTTGCACTTTTTTTGTTTGTCCACTTGCACGCCGATGACGAGTCGCTTCATTTCCATGGAAGAAAACCAAAGTGCAAATTATTCGCATAAAGGAATTGATAATGTTTATTGTCTTGACACTATTAAAACAAACTGCACTGCCTCAGCGGTGGAAATCAAAACTTGTATGACAATGATCTTATATGTATGTATGTATGAGAACGCAATGAACCGAAAAGAATATCAGCTTCTTGAGTTTCGCAAAAATAATATTACTTTATTCACGATCCCCATAATTTTTCACTCATATTTCGCTTTTGATTTTTTTATTGATATAATGTGCGCCATTGATGGTGCATCTGACGCGCGAATCATCTGCGTACGTGTTGACTTGCCTTGCGTGTACACACATATCAGTAGCTCGGCTGGGTATAATATCATTATCCCCGTTTTGATTTCGATGAAACTCGCCTGAAACTCCCGCTATTGACCTGGGAATCCAGGATGAATCTTGACTCTATTAGCACACATAAAACGGGCGGTTCAATCCGCCACCCTAGCTCGAAATATGTATGTTCAATCATCTGCATTGGTTGACTTGAAAATGACACAACACGCGAGTCCGCTTTAAGTAACAGGAACGTCCCAGATTTATATCTGGCCAAGAACTGTCACTCCAGCATCACACTCTTTGGGGAATTTGTATGCTGTTACAACAACAACAACTTGAAAATTATATTAAAATAGCCTTATGTTTGAATTATTAAAAAAAGTCAAACCTTAACATCTCTCATTTCCTCATTGCAGCTGCCCAAATCGATGTGACCTTGAAGAATGCCACATTACCTGATGCCGCTGCAGCCTTACCCATTGCTGGGCAAGAGGAAGGTGTAGAAAAACCCAAGACAACTACGCCAGCAACTACGTCAAGCAGTAGCTCGACCAGCACTACAACTACCACAACGTCAACAACAACACCAGCGCCAACAACAACCCCAGCACCAACCACAACATCGACCACTACAACTACAACAACAGCTGCACCAAATACCACCACGGTTGCGCCCATTACCACTACACCCGCACCAGCGCCTTTCCCAGCACCAGAAACTGGCAAATGGAATTCCAGCTGCATTATCATACACTTGGCTGCACAATTGAACTTCACTTATGAGACCAAAGGTAAGCATCGTAGTATTCATAGGGCCAGTTTTTCAGTTTAAACGCCCGATCTGGCTGATTTAAACTAAGCTAAGCCAATCAAATGTCAGCCAGTTGTTCAATTTAAAATCAGTTTACTTAATCTAAGTTTCAACTGGCACTGAAAAACTGGCGCGTAGTATGATTTACATAACCGCCTTCGATTCGCCACTTCTCAGCTCGATTGAGTCCATCTCTCCTAGCTTAACTAAAAATGTGTATGTGAAAGCCACACCAAAGTTAGCTAGCAGCGAGGAACGTTGGCGAGTGTGGTTGTACTTCACTAATTTTGTTTGGTTCGCCACTCGCGAATCGAAGGCGGCCCATTGTTTCCATTCGCATGAACTTTTGTAAATAAGTTATTCATTTTGCTATTTAGTATTAATTTTCTTTTATACCCATTTTAGACAACAAAACCGCTTCCCGTCTATACAACATCCCCAAGGATGCTAAGGTTGAAGACTCAAACTGCGCCAATACCTCGCAATCGATCCACATTACTTGGGGTCCAGTTGATGCCGTACACTCCATGGTCTTGCAATTCGATTCGGTTAACAAATCTAGTGAATTGAAGCAGATCTACTTTACCTTGCCACTCACCAGCGATCACTTCCCCGACGCCAAGGGTATGTGGCAGCGCAATTTTTTTTAACGCTACATACTTGATTACAAATTTTCCTTTTAGATAACCAAACCATTCAGTTGATTCACACTGGCGATGATTTTATCACACCCATCAAGATGTCATACCACTGCACACGTGCACAAAAATTCAATTTGACTGAGGTAATGCAGGATACTAAGGTCATTGGCACCATCAATTTGAGCAATGTACAAACGGAGGCATTCATCACCGACAAGCGTGACACCTTCTCCAATGCCATGGATTGTGATGGACCTAAGACCATGGATATTGTGCCTATTGCCGTAGGCATTGCAATGGCTGCACTCATATTGATTGTATTGATCTCGTACTTGTGTGCGCGCCGTCGTTCCACATCGCGTGGTTATATGAGCTTCTAAGAGGGGAATATTCTGTTTAGTAGTGAAGTTTAGGCAGAGAAGCGCCGAGGAGGAAGCAAAACGAGGAGGCGTTAGTGGCAGTACATATTCGTAGGCATAGGTGGGCGCGTAATTTTTCAGGGGGTTTTGAGATTTATATGCGCATTGGGAATATTTGTAAAAATTTGTTTTACTTTGAAAATTTTGTTTTCGGGAGAGAATCAGTAAAAAAGATTGAAATGCCGAGTTTTGATTTACTTTGTCACGGTGCAGGAGGAAAAAGAGGGAGGAAGAAATAGTGAAAAAACAGTTATTTAAGATATTCAACTAACAAATATAGTAATACAATTGTCAAAACAAATGCAAAAAGGAAAAACAAAAACCAGCGTATAAAAATAAGCACCGTAAATAGCAATTTTATTCCAACAGACTTTTAACGAACACTTTAGAACAGGTACAACATTAACAAAAAACAGGGCGCAGTAGTTACACACCAAGTATATCACACGTGTCAATGTGTCTAGCGGTATTTTAGTTGCCGCCGCGCGAGCACTGTGGTTTAAAATTAGTTTTTCAAAAACTTTCTCTTGCTATGTATTAGTTTTTATAAGTTTTACTCTAAACGATTTGTTGCACATACCCTTTGTTAACTCGAACTTTATATTTGAAACGAATATTTTTGTTCAGAAAAAGTTAGTAACTTTCGTTGCTAATCTTATTCAAACGCCTTCTTTCTTATATAAATTTGTATGTATGGACACGTATAAATGCATCCATAAATAAATTTTCTTTTTTATAGCCCTACAATAAATGCAATAGCCTAGAACCCGAATAAAAAATTATGTCTTACACAAAAACGTTCATCGATATCAAAAATACAAAAACAAATGTATATTTATCAGTAACAAAAATACAGCATATTGTAAAGTAAACAAAAAAATCATTAGTATTTATAATTACTTACTGCTATACTTTAAAATAAACGATTCTATTATTCTTTATACACATGCATACACATACTTTAATTTATATCCAATTGGCTAAACATTATCTCTAATTAACTACTTCCATGTAATATTTGAAGTATGTATAAGATATTTTGATTTCAATATACATTACATATATATAAATACGATAAATAGTTTCCATTGCATCTGGTTGCATATCGTTTTATATACAAAATTTTATACGCCTGAGTAAAAAGGATACAATTTATGAAAATTATATTTAAAATTAGGTACTTGGTTTGTAATTCGATTCAATTTTTCATTATAAAAACTTGGCCTTAAATAAAGTGAGGTAACTGAGAAAAATAATTCAATTTTTAATTAATTTCACACATAGATTGTCGAAAATTATTTGGCCACCATAGCTGATTAGTTAAAAGTATGCATCCAATCCGTTCGGTTATCAAATCAGAAATAATTACAGTAACCTTTCTTTACCTTAATATATGTGCATATACACAGACTGAACCACACGCCGCCGCCAACAACTCTTAGTGCCTCCGACAATCTGCACGGAATGTCAGTCCAGCATACTCCGTAACGTGACATCAGTCAAGTGCAACACTTGCCTTGGCTGGTGTCACTTTAGGGCATGTTAAGAAATGCACACCACGCGAGATTGGACGAGCGTTTGTTGTGCTGCTCGGTCGCAAGTGCCAACTGCGACGCCGCCCACTACCACAGCAGGGCAACTGCCTTCACAGCAGCACGCACAGCAAGTGGCGGGCAGGCAACACACCTCATTAACATCTCACATTCCAATAAGTCTCCCTAGGCACACGAACATCCTACAATTTAACTGTAAAGAACTTCAGAGCAAGATCGAGGAGATAACCGTCTTCATGGGTCGGCACGGAATATTAATAGCTGCGGTCCAAGAGACAAAGCTGCATGGCATTTTAACATTGTTGAATTTGCGTCGGATACAACGAGCACCGTCGAGATCGCGAGCGAGATAATGGTGGTGCCCTAGCGTTCATCACGCACCACACCGTACAGTAATGTCTTATCGAAGCAGAAATCGACCGCAGGGATACCATCCTAGAATGTCAGGGTGTTGCTATTCGGTCAGGCGATGTCGAGATCGAAGTATTTAACGTATATTTATATATCCCTGTCACCAGCTGCCCGGCGGGTTATCACCCTGAAATAGGTGCGCACCTCAGAGGTGGCATTCAAGCCTGTCAAACAATCGTAGGGGAATACAATTTGCTGGGCAGATAGACGATTCGATATTCTTTCGACAATGAACGACAACGCTTTCAGCAGGATTATGGGCAGCTGCTGCAGCTCGCCAGACCTAACAAAAGTCAGCGTTGGTCTGATAAACAGCATATCATGGCGACCTATGCTGACCTTCGTATAAACCAGCCGTCTTTGTTTCCGCGGATCACCGGACCTATGTCAACTTCTCCAAAGCTGACTGGAAAGGCTTCGCGGATGTTACTGAAAGCACCTTCACTGCCATACCCACACCAACCGACGTTCGCGTAGGTGAGCGTAAGTTCCGCAGTGTTGTCACTGTTGCTGCAGCCCGCTTCATTCCAGCAGGAAGCATTTCGGACCACCGTCCGAATTTTCCTGCCGAAGCGGCTGTCCTAGTCGATGAGCGTGACAACCTTCGTCAGGCCGATCCCAGATATCCCCGTATCAGGGATCTCAATTCGGAGATTCGGCAACTAGTGAACGTACAGTATCGGTCATATCTATAGCACGCCATTTCAAAGTGATATTGTGTGTCACTTATGTTTATTTATTTATTTTTAAGAATTTTCAATTAAAATATAGGTTTTTCACTAACAAAACCCATATAAACCCAAGTTTAACAATTTGTAGAATACTACAAAAAAGTGCAACAAATTTTCATTTAAATTTCAAACTTTTTTCTCGGAAGTGTTAGAATTTTTCTGAATACACAGTTTTATAGCCCAATCAATTTTAGTCTGATAATGTGCAAGTTTCAAGTGGCTAAAGATTACCGTTGATTTTTTAGATTTTTTTTCGCCAAAGGTGTTGCGGTTTTCTTCCATATACAAATAAATTGAGTTTATTCATTACATGGAAGCCAATGCGACAAAAAAAAATTCTAAAAAATTAACGGTAATTCGTAGCCACTTGAAATTTGCACATTATCAGACTAAAATTGGTTGGGCTAAAAAACTGTGTACTCAAAAAAATTCTAACACTTCCGAGAAAAAGTTTGAAATTTAGGTGAAATTTTGTTGCACTTTTTTGAAGTTTTCTACAAATGCGTATATATGGGGTTTGTCTGAGAATGAACTAAATTTTAATTGAAAATTCTTAAAAATAAATAAATAAACATAAGTGGCACACAATATCACTTTGAAATGGCGTGCTATAGATATGACCGATACTGTATATAAGCGGAAGAAGTGGGAAAAGCATCTGAAGACCTGTAACTTTGCCTCTGGTGTGAGCAAGCTCTGGTCAACCGTGAGCTCATTATCCAACCCGAAGAAGCGTGACGACAGTTGAAATAAATATTGGCTACCACGTTTAGTCGGACCCGGAGCGATGCGCGAGCTATTTTAACCGACTTCATACTGCATCCTCCGCCAACACCTTGTGTAGAGGTAAGGGTAGCCATTGAGAAGGCGCAAGCCTCTAAAGCCATTGAACCCAACCTGTCAATGGCCACTCTCATCATTCCAGATATCTGGAATGGAAAATCGGGAGAGGTCCCACTGCTTAAAACGCGGAAACGGTCCAACAAAGGAGAGTCCTATCGCCCGATAACTTTCCTTTCTCCGGTAGCGAAGGCACTAGAGGCCTTTCTACTCCCGCACTATACAAACCACCTGACCCCAGCGAGGCATCATCAGGTTCCGTAAAGTGCACAGCACAACAACAGCACTTAACGATATAAATACTCTGATAACTCGTTGCCTTAACCGAAATCGCCCCGGTGAGAGAACCCTTTTAGTAGCGTTGGACCTGTCCAAGGCGTTCGACATCACGGGGACTCAAACGGTGATCGGCGAATTAATTGAGTGGTCGTCACTCGTCAGTAACCTTTAGAGACAAATCGAGCAAACCTAGAAAAATAAAACCGGGGGTTCCCCAGGGTGGTGTCCTTTCCCCACTACTGTTTAACTTTTACATTTCTAAGCTCCCTCAGCCCCCAGAGGCAGTCCCGATCGCCTCTTATGCTCAAAAGTAGACGGTTATCTCACCGAGCTTTCTCGCTTCTTCGCAGCACGGAGCCTAAACTCCCTACAAAATCCTCAGCAACCACTTGCACGAAGGAGGTCAGACTGCAACTGGGTATTCACGTCGATGACTCACTAATTCCGACGGCGATCAACCCGAAGATCCTCGGTGTGACCTTCGACAGTCTACTCTCCTCCTTAGCGCATACAACCGCAATTGTCAACAGAGTACAGAGCCGCAACAAGGTCCTCAAGTCGCTAGCCGGCAATACCTGGGGCAAAGACAAAGAAACGTTGCTGGCAACATACAGGGCAATTGGCTAGCTGGTTCTAAATTACGCACCACCACTGTGTTCGCCAGGGACCTGTAGGATGCAGTGGATTAAGCTACATACTGCACAAAACACCAGACTACGGAAGGCCTTCTGCTGTCGCCAGAACCTACACGACGAGGCGAAAATGCTCCCCATATAGCGGCATTCACAGGGAGTCAGTCTCAAGTTACGTACACTCCAGACGTGTGAATAGAAGGCTTTGGGAAGGCTGGATGCGGCTAAAACCGACCATCTTTATTGGTCACAAGGAACAAGCGCGTGGAAGACAACGTGAGAACTGAAAAGCCTGCTAAAGAAGGCGTTTCCTAAGATTTGGGCATACCAATTCTTGTTCAGAAAATCTACTTATGTACCGCCAGATGCATAAGACGTGATAAGAAACTTAATGATTTCCTGCTATCAACAAGAAGAACATAATTTTATTCTTACAGAGCATAGTAGCTTATGCGCTTAAACTAGGTCATATAGATGCCAAAGAGTATAATTATTACAAGAACATTTTGAAACATTTCAGCTGAAAATATATTGAAAATATGTTTAGATAGGGCGTTTTGAACCGAATGTTATAATAGGTCGTTCTTTAGTCATATTCTAAGAAAGGGCGTTCTTGAAAAGTTAGGTCGATCGTCCACTCTGTCGCCGATATGCAAAACAATTACTAGGCTTCTGTTGCTTTTTCCGGGCGTAAAAAATCGCATGGAATTTTAACAAAGTTACCCATTGCGACAACACAACATTTCAATTGACTGACATTTCATAGCCTCAGCGTAACCATAACAATTCGATTTGATGTGGTGCAATAAAATTGGAAAAAATGCGGTAAAAAATAAGAGGAGGCGGAGGTGGAGAGGAAAGAAATGGGACAAAAATAGAGCCAACAAAATATAAAAAGAAAAAAAAAAACAATAACAAAACGGCACACCATTTTTCGCATCACTACCAAGGCAGTGTGGTCGAGACTGCACGACCGACCCGGATTGAATGGCCGACATGCTAACTATCGTAATTTCGAATGGAAATTGTTACTGCGGGCGAATGCCTCAAACGATTTCAGCAACGATGTGTGCATTTGGATGGTTGGGAATAACCGCATAAGCGGCATGATTGTTTCCAAACACATTATATGTACGTACGTAGGAATCTATGAGGTTGGGCGCCAAAGAGTATGCAATAAAAATCTCAAAGGCTATTGCCCTTTTATTTTTAATAGCGGTACGAAGACTGAGTGAAGAGACATTTTCGTTACCCGGAAGTGATTTGAAAGAATGCGAAAGAACGCAATGGGGACGATTAAATATTCATGAGTTATATGGTAATTGCTACTTGTGCAGCTGTGTCAGCAGTGGCTCATCAGAAATTTGGTCGATACATTCACAATTGTTTGCTAAACTTGTTGATAAAATACTTGTATGCACTTGTGTATGTATGTATATAAATATCATTAAATTGTACGAATTAAAATTGTGATATTACATTTCATTTGACTTTGATTTATTTCAAATGAAAAATGGCATCCTCCTTGGATTTTTTTGATCCCGATGATAATCCTGCTACATTGGTACTACGCAAATAGCTCATCAACCTTCGAAGCGTTGAAAATGACCCCCGCTCGTTGCAAAAGATACTGGCATTGTTGCACCTATTTTCATATAAACAAAAATGATCGGATTAAGACTTGTATCACCCTGATGCAAGACGTCAGAAAAAGTCTCAGGCAGCGGAAAGACGGTTATTAAACATCAATTTTTGAAAAAAAAAGAAGTTACTCCTGCCGCACATAGTAAAGTCAGCAATGAAATCGTTT